AGCTTCCTAGAACCATAGAAGATATCCTTCGTAATTGTGGCAATATTACTTATATGTCTACTTTAGACTTGACTGCGGGATATTGGCAGATTCCATTAAAGTCGGAACATCGCAAATATACAGGTTTCCGTTTCGAAAATAAATGTTACCAATTTAAGGTGCTACCTTTTGGTTTAAAGACCGCCGTTTCGTCATTTACGAGATGTATTGATCGCATTTTGGGTCCTTCTTTCGCGGGATTTGTTTATGCGTATGTCGATGACCTATTAATAGCCTCAAATTCTTTTGAGCAACATCTTCATCACTTAGATTTGGTTTTAAGTAGACTAAAAAATGCTGGATTTACATTAAGGTTGAAAAAGTGCCAATTTTTTAGAACAGAAATGATTTATTTAGGATATTTAATTAGCCAGTCAGGTGTATGTCAGGATCCTGAAAGAGTATCTGCTCTGCGTGATTTCCCCGTGCCCCGTAACGTGAAACAGCTGCAGGCTTTTCTGGGTTTGGCTAATTTCGATAGGTGTTTTGTAGAAAACTTTGCATCTATAGCGGAACCTCTTTCTGAGTTACTGAGGAAACAATCTCGTTGGCGTTGGGGTGAAACGCAGGAGGAAGCTTTTGTGAAAATTAAAGAAATTTTATCACGGGAAATTATGCTTTATCAACCTTCGTACGACTTACCTTTCGAAGTACAATGTGATGCTAGCGATATTGGTTTGGGAGCCATTCTCTTCCAAATGGTGAATGGTAGGAAAAAAATAATTAGTTATGCTAGCCGTTTACTGTTGGACAGGGAACGACGATACTCGGTATCTGAGAAGGAACTGTTGGCAGTGGTATTTGCTTTGCAAAAATGGCGTACTTACCTTATCGGGAAACATTTTAAAATCTATACGGATCATCGAAGTTTGTCTTTTTTAAATACTTGCCGTTTGTTGAATCGCAGAATTGAACGATGGGTTCTTGCTCTCCAAGAATATGATTACGAGTGCGTATTCATTTCCGGAAAAGATAATGTTTTGGCTGATGTTTTGTCTAGAAACCCTCCTATTCGTCCTATCGTTCCGGATAATAAATGTTTTGCGGTGATGAAGTGTAAAATAAACGAATTGAACTCGTTAATTAAAGATTTGCCTGAGGCTCAGAAAAGCGATCCAACTCTATCCAAAATAATTGAAGAGCTCCATAAACCCAATAATAAAGAAAGTAAATTCATCTTATTTCAGAATTTATTGTTTTGTCGTCAGGATGGGGTCGAATTACGGTTGTGTATCCCTAAGAAACATACTGATTCTATCACAAGGTACTATCATGAACATTTGGGTCATTTTGGAGTATATAAAACTTGGTGTTCACTGCGTAGAGATTTTTGGTGGTCGGGTATGCACTCAAATGTCAAGAGAGTGGTAAAGGGTTGCGAACTTTGTCAATCATGTAAAACTTCCGTTTTACCTAAACCGCCTTTAGAGTCAATTGTTCCGGAAGGGCCAAATGATTTGGTGGCTGTCGATTTTTATGGTCCGTTACCCCGTTCAACTGGTGGTGTCTCTTATATTTTCGTCGCGGTTGACGTATTTTCTAAATATTTAGCGTTGTACCNAATTAGCCAGTCAGGTGTATGTCAGGATCCTGAAAGAGTATCTGCTCTGCGTGATTTCCCCGTGTCCCGTAACGTGAAACAGCTGCAGGCTTTTCTGGGTTTGGCTAATTTCGATAGGTGTTTTGTAGAAAACTTTGCATCTATAGCGGAACCTCTTTCTGAGTTACTGAGGAAACAATCTCGTTGGCGTTGGGGTGAAACGCAGGAGGAAGCTTTTGTGAAAATTAAAGAAATTTTATCACGGGAAATTATGCTTTATCAACCTTCGTACGACTTACCTTTCGAAGTACAATGTGATGCTAGCGATATTGGTTTGGGAGCCATTCTCTTCCAAATGGTGAATGGTAGGAAAAAAATAATTAGTTATGCTAGCCGTTTACTGTTGGACAGGGAACGACGATACTCGGTATCTGAGAAGGAACTGTTGGCAGTGGTATTTGCTTTGCAAAAATGGCGTACTTACCTTATCGGGAAACATTTTAAAATCTATACGGATCATCGAAGTTTGTCTTTTTTAAATACTTGCCGTTTGTTGAATCGCAGAATTGAACGATGGGTTCTTGCTCTCCAAGAATATGATTACGAGTGCGTATTCATTTCCGGAAAAGATAATGTTTTGGCTGATGTTTTGTCTAGAAACCCTCCTATTCGTCCTATCGTTCCGGATAATAAATGTTTTGCGGTGATGAAGTGTAAAATAAACGAATTGAACTCGTTAATTAAAGATTTGCCTGAGGCTCAGAAAAGCGATCCAACTCTATCCAAAATAATTGAAGAGCTCCATAAACCCAATAATAAAGAAAGTAAATTCATCTTATTTCAGAATTTATTGTTTTGTCGTCAGGATGGGGTCGAATTACGGTTGTGTATCCCTAAGAAACATACTGATTCTATCACAAGGTACTATCATGAACATTTGGGTCATTTTGGAGTATATAAAACTTGGTGTTCACTGCGTAGAGATTTTTGGTGGTCGGGTATGCACTCAAATGTCAAGAGAGTGGTAAAGGGTTGCGAACTTTGTCAATCATGTAAAACTTCCGTTTTACCTAAACCGCCTTTAGAGTCAATTGTTCCGGAAGGGCCAAATGATTTGGTGGCTGTCGATTTTTATGGTCCGTTACCCCGTTCAACTGGTGGTGTCTCTTATATTTTCGTCGCGGTTGACGTATTTTCTAAATATTTAGCGTTGTACCCAATTAAAAAAGCTACCGCCGCTGCCGCCTTAAATCGACTTAGGCAACATTATTTTTTACAAGTAGGTAAACCTAAAAGATTGCTATCTGATCAGGGTACACAATTTAAAGCTAGAATATTCAAGGACTTTTTGAGAGATGAGGGTATCGTACAAGTTTTTAGTTCTGTTAGACATCCTCAAGGAAATCCCTCGGAACGGGTAATGCGTGAATTGGGGCGGATGTTTCGTACCTTTTGCCATTCTTCACATTCAGCTTGGGCTAGATCAGTTCCGGAAATAGCTAAACTAATTAATAACGCGGTTCACGAGTCCACTGGTTTTGCGCCCATCGAAATTCATTTTGGTACTAAATCTTTTTCGCCGATTCGTGATTTGTTGGATTGGCCAAATACCGTAAACCTTGACGCGCATGTACGTCTTTATTACGTTCGAGAATGTTTTAAGAGTCGTTTAGAAAAAAGAAAGGGTAAATTTCACTCACTAAAAGAATGTATTGTTTTTTTGCCTGGTGACTTAGTTTTGCTTCGAGCGAACCCTATTTCTTCCGCGCTAACTTCCGAAGTAAAAAAGTTTTTATTTTTGTTTGAAGGGCCTTATATAATTAAGAAAAGAATTCATGAAAATACATATATTTTAGTTTATCCGGGAACTTCAAAAGAACGTGGTACTTTTCATGTAACACATTTGAAACCATATAATTTATTTTTAACTACTTGCGAATCAACCCCTTAGATTGTTCGCACGGGGGCAGATGAAACATAATATTTTTGTATATCCGCGTTCGAATTGGCGTTTATTTTGATATTGGGTTAGTTTTTGTCCACCACGTGCGAGGTGGGGATGTAAACTTGTGAGGGTCCTTCGAGTCTGGTTTTGATTCGGTTTGGCACATTGGTTTGTGACACCAGACTCGAGCGACCTCTTGGGAACTTATAACATATTTTTTATATGTTGTGTGTCTTTGTGCTCAGGTTTGTTACATTTTAGTTTATATTTTTATCATAATGTTAATTTTTGCATTTTTATTCAGAGTGTGGTTAATAAACCAGTTTTCTTTTGAAAAATCACATTTAATTCTTCCACCTTACCCCGAAACCACCTTCCACGGAATTTTCCGCAACAACATATTAACACGTTAACTGCCCTCCCCAATATTTAAAAAAATATGTACCGTGTCCCATGGGCCATGTTTGTTTTTTAATGAAAATGATGTTTTACTGTTTAAAAATAAACAAATATTGAAAAACCTTTTTTCTCTAATTATTTTTTTTGTTAGAAAAAAGTGTGTCCTAATATGGTACACGTGGCGCCTGAGTGAACATTACTTAATGTTTTGCACATCGTGCGCCATACGTGGACACGCATAAACTCGATGTTCGTTCGTTCAGCAGCGACAACTGGTTTCAGTAACCAGTTTGAAATGCAACAAGCGGTAAAGACTGCAGCAGAAGAGATTGAGGTTTGGAGAGAACTTGACATGAGTGATGAATTTTCAGACTTCTCAAATTCCGACCTTGATCCAACATATTCGGTAGATGAAACATCATCGAACGATTCTGAAGATGACTGCCTTAGGAAAACGAAACGTAGAAGTCGATCAAGTACGTAAAAAAGATATTACCAATAGCATAAACTTTGATTATGGTATAGTTTTAGCTTTTTGATGAAAAAAAAAGCTGTTTCGATTTACCATTTCAAATATTTTTTAGTCTTACCGTTTAGCAGTACGTCTGTATTTTTATGTGGTATTGCAATACTGCAAAGTTCATTTTTCTGTTAGATTCAACGCAACCATCAACTTCAGGCTAAACCATCAACATCGGCCCAGTCTGACACAATAACAGATCCTCCAGGAAGTCGAAGTGAAGAGCCAGAGTGGGGACCAATTTCAGGAAATTTCACCAGCCCTGCAGGCTCAAATGCATGGTAAAAACGAGCTTAGTTTTTTTGAATTGCTTGTGTCCGATGTTGTTGTTAACAAGATCGTTGATGAAACAAACAGATATGCCGAACAGCAAATTGTTTTAGCCATAAGCCACGAGAATTTCGGCGACTATTCACGTTTACATGCATGGGTAGATACCAACTTTAGTGAAATACGAACATTTCTTGCTATTTTGATTTGGATGGGATTAGATAAAAAGCCATCACTCAAAGATTATTGGCGTAAAAATCCATTGTATAAAAACGAGATATCAAGATATGGCTCGAAATAGGTTTGAGCTGCTTTTGTGCAAGTTCCATTTAGCAAATAACGAAGAATGCCCCTTCAACGATAGGCTACACAAAATTCAATGTCTGGTTGACATGTTGAATAGAAACGCTTCTTTGTGCATTGTTCCAGAAGAAACCATTTGTATCGATGAAACCATGATTCCGTTTCGAGGCAGATTATCTTTTCGACAATACATAAAAGGAAAAAGGCATAAGTGTGGAATGAAAATTTATAAAGTATGCTTTGATGGCGACAGCCTGAAGATATATTGCGGTAAGGAAAAGATTGAAGGACAATCGGTGGCGGAATCTATCGTTATGGAAATGTTACAACCATTGCTTGATGATGAAAGGACTCTTTATGCAGATAAGTGGTACCAGTCTGTTGCCCTAGCGGAGAACTTACAAAAAAGATCAACTCATCTAGTAGGAACTATTCGAAAGAATAAAAAAGGTCTGCCAAAGACTGTGGTCGACGCAAACCTCAAGAGAGGAGAAATTGTTGCAAGGCAGAATCAAAATAAAGTGGTTGTTATGAAGTAACTAACATGACAAAAGAGATGTCCTCCTATTATCTACTAAACACACAGATGAACAGAAAGAACTACATCACAAAGAGGGTCCCAGGTTCAAACCGTCTGCAATAATCGATTACAATAAAGCTAAAGCGTTTGTTGATATGTCAGATCAAATGGCAGCCTATTCAAATTCTCTGAGAAAGTCAAGAAAATGGTACAGAAAATTGGCTTTTGAATTTATTACAGGCACCTCAGTAGTAAATGCGTTATACTTGTACAACAAAATAAACAATAAGAATTTCTATAACCACTTTCAAGGAAAACCTTGCCATGCAACTTTTTGAAAGTGGAGAACCGCTACACCCAAACGCAGAGAATCCAGTAGAAGAACACAGACTTACCGAAAAAATGGATAACGAGAGAAAGCATAAAAGGGGAAGATGCAAATCTTTGCTATGAAAAGAATTCACAACAACATGGGCGCGATTATGCAGTAAAAAATACAAAAAGAATTACTTACATATGTCTAGGTTACGACGGCAATATTTTCATTTGCATGGAATGCTTTTTTGAAAAACACGTTTTCAAAAAAATTTAATAGAATGTTTTGTGCTTCGCAGTCATTTTCCATTAATTTTATAAATATTAGTTTAAGCTAAACGTTACATTTTTGAACAGAAAGAAATAAATAATTTTGATATATTTTGATATATAATAATTTTGTGTCATATTTTCTATAAAAACTAAAATATTCTCAGACCACACTCGAATAATGATTTCCTACGCCAGACCCACCCATACATATATTTAAATCAATACTAAATGCGGCCACCTTGTGTACACATGGCTTAGAAGGTGGTAGAACGTGTGCCCACTGATGGTACACATGGCGCTGGGGGTACTTCAACTGTGTCCATATATGGTACACATTATGGCAGTTAACGTGTTAAACAAGTTCCATTACTTCAGTACAACATCTAAAAATTTAGTGCGTATGCAGTTATTGCATAAGAAACGATCCAAATTGAAGGTAGGACAAAAACAACTCTCGTTATCACTATATTATTCTAGTCCAAGTGCCTACCGGAACTTACGAAAAAATATCATTCTTCCTGGTATAAGTACTATAAAGCGATGGATTGGACACGCAACTGTTTTACCAGGTTTTTGTGTTACTTTAAAAACTCAATTATTGCCGAAGACACAGTCAATGAGTAGAATTGAAAACTTTTGCACGGTATGCTTTGACGAAATGTCTATAAAAGAATTGTTGGAGTATTCGAAGGCCCTTGATTTTATTGAAGGATTTGAAGACTTAAGGTTAATTCTCACTATACGTTCCGTCTCCATTCCGTACCGGTACCATTCCGTTTACGTAAAATATTATAGGCTGTAAATGAGTGGACGTATGCACACCTTCCATTCCATTTACATACCGTTTCCATTCCGTTCCGTTCCATATTGACGCAAACATATTTTTTAACGGACAAGCTGAGACGTGACGGAAACGTTATTGATAGTGGGGATACCGTTACAGTTCAGTTCAATATTTTATTAAACTGCACTAAGTATAAAATTGTGTTTCGCGTTTACATTTTTCGTGTTTATTGAGTTATTGTTATTGTTTATCGTGTTATTGAGATATGAATGACGAGAAGTTAATCGAACTAACTGGTGAGGGAAAATAAGACCCTCTATGATTTAGAAAATTCTAAATATAGTGACAATTACTATAAAGACAAGATTTGGTCAGTTATTTCAAAGGAACTAAACGTCACACTGGGTAAGTAAGAAGAATATTTTCATAACTTTAACTAATCATAGTAATCATTTTATTACAAGAGTATTAGTATATACATATGAAATGTAAGTACGGATTAATATAATGGTGAACTTTTTAAATTGCACTCATTTGCCATTCAACAGCTCCTATTGGAGAATTAAAAAAATCTTTGTAAATGTCTCCGAGTTGAAATGCAGTAGCTGTTGCATTTCCTCCTTGGTGTGGCAAATTTTCTACGGTAGAGTTACTAGCTGTGAAATTGATTTGATAGTCTTTAATAAAATTATGCAGTAAACATGTAGTTAAAACAATTTTATCTGCATATTGTGGTGCAGATTTTAATCTTCTATTATAAAATTGAAATTTTTGACCTAAAATAGCAAAGGCGTTGTCGGAGCATCTTGGAGCACGTGATAATCTATAATTAAATATTTTCTTTGTTGTATCGTCTCGTTGTTGAGCAGAAGATCATGGTCTTAATAAATTAGGTTTTAAGGGAAACGCTTCATCCCCTACTATCACAAAATTAAAAAGATTTAACTTTTAAAGTTTTACAATATTTATAAAATATATAAATAGACCTTTTCGAATAAATACTTTTTCTATGTATAGGGTCGACTTGCAAAAATAGATGGAATCAGTTGAGAGATCAGTGGCGAAAAAATAAAAAAATAATCTGACGAAATTGGGACAAGCGAGTAAGCCAATAAACAAATGGCGATTTGAAGAACAAACGGGGTTTTAGAAGCATTTTTGCGCCAACGAGAAACAATTAGCAATCTTGACGATATTGACGTGAAGAAGAAGAACGAGACGAAAATATTGCGGCTACTGGGACCCCAGTTACTGACGCATTGGAAAACGCAGAAGGGGTTACAGTTTCTCCTGCTCAAACTAAATCTACTTCTAATCTAAGCAGACCATCGAAAAGAAAACAAGATGAATTCGCTACTGGAGTACCTTGTTGAAAAGCAAAGAAGAGAAGAAACAAGTCTTCCTGCAGTAAAAGATTCAACAGATATATTTTTTGAAAGTATTGCTACAAAGGTTAACCGCTTTACGAGGTATTATAGAAACATTGCAGAAAGTAGGATCTTTAATTTGGTACAAGATATGGAACTAGAGCAAATTTCAATACTACTAGCAACAATTATAATTTTCACACCCGAACTGCTCCAGCGTCTACGCCCTCCCCTGCTACTTCAAATCAACAGCTGCTTCATACATAGAATCATTTTATGATCATGCAAATATTGAATAACTTACAATTTTTTTTGTATTACTGCCATAATAAATAAACAACTTACCTTAAACAAGCAGATAATTTTTGTTTTGCTGTTATCGCCTCCCTGAATGTTGTTCTTTGTTTTGTTATCACCGGCTCAATGATTAACAGTAATTCGTGGAATTTATATTTTGACATCCGGAAATACTCAAAAAATTTGGTTTCGTCATCTCTCAGTTCTCTAAATAATGTTGTATATTCTCCTTCAATATTTCTTTTCTTTAATATATTATGCACCCAAAATCTTCGTTTTAACTTAACTTCTTCATCTAACAGAATAGCAGCTATAATCAAGTTTTCATCAGACCACTTTTTGTGAACACGCACACTACTTTTATGTAAATGAAACTGATCAGGAACGGAAAATGTGAACGACAACAATTTAACGGAACGTATATGTAATGGTTATGGAACGGAGACGGAACGTATAGTGAGAATGAACATTTAGGATCCTTAGGACGACGTAAACAACCCGCCAAAAAAGCTATGGTGTTTATGATCCGCAGATTATTTGTAAAGTGGAAACTACCAATTGCATATTTTTTAAGCGAAACAGGAACAAAAAGCAATGATTTGAAAACGTTAATTGTGGATGCCAATGATTATGTAATGGATTGTGGGTTTTTTCTGAAGGCTATTGTTAAATAGTTAAACGAAAAATAGTATTAAATAGTCAACATGTAATGCTTACATAATGTAAGTACGGTTGCTTAACTTTTGTTTTTGAAACTATATCTTCAGTCGTACAAAAACAAGTTAAGTAGTTCAATGGTTATAATAGTTGTAACATGGTTGTAAAACGTTTTAACACGTTGAAGTAGAAATAATACACAATAAACTTAATTTAGTTGGTCCCGGTTGTTTAAAATCAAACCCTGACTTGCCCTAAAACAACAGGTTATGGGCCCACGCAACGAAGAAAAGTGAGAAAAGCCAGGGAATAAAAAATAAAAAGGAAAGTTTCATAAAAACGACGCCAAAACGCGGTCGCCATTGTTGTCTCATCGAAACAATGGAAGAAATCGTTGACGGTTAAAAGCAAGTGAACGAAAACAAATTCAAAACATCGGATAAATAAATCGGTAAGACAGTTTAAAAATTAAATTAAAATAAAATAAATAATAAAAATGAGTCAAACGAGCTTTCAAAATGGAATCTTTTTTAAGGCCAAGGGTATATATGAGATAGCTTATGGAATAAATAAATGTCTAGAAGAAATCAAAGAAAAGTTAGATTGGGTGCAGACGGATGCTACTGCTGAAAAAATAATAATAACAACAATTGCAAAACAACCGATGATGCATGTGCTAAACAGTAAGACGGCAAATGAAATGATCGAAAATTGTCGGGAATGTATCAAAGAGATACAGAAGATGTGAAATACAAACTACTACAGGATTTTTACCAATTACAATTTAAAAAGGAAGTTGATATGGGGTCGAACATAGCAGAACTTGAAAATATAACCCACAAACTAAGGGGATTAAAACAAGAAATAACGGACGAAATGAAAATAACAAAGTTATTATCGATACTACCAAATACGTATAAATATTTTAGAAGTGCTTGGGAGTCGGCTTCAGAAAAAGATAAAACTTTTGAAAAACTAACCGGAAGATTGCTTAACGAAGAGTTGAGAATGAAAAGTGAAAACACAACGGAACAGGTGGCATTTAAAGGTGAACAAAAAAGAACTAATAGGCACAATAAACCAGACGACATAACATGCTTCTGTGGAAGAATGTGGAAAAAAAGGGCACATCGCAAAAAATTGCAAAAACAAACAAGGATGCAGTATCTGCAAGAAAAATAATCATTCTGAAAAATGTTTTTTCAGGAATAAAGATGAAAAAATAAAGTTAAAATTGAAAACAAGGTAACAGGAAATTAGAAGCAAAAGTAATGGAAAAGAGTACACCAACAATGAATTGAAAAACTGGTGCAAAAAAAGAGGAAC